TATCTGAATATTTTAAAAGGTATCTATGTCAAATATAAAAAACATACTAAATGTATGTTTAACAAAACTTATTAACATAACATTTAAATTACAAATATATTTATTTAAATTAGAATGAGAGTCGTTCATAAATGCTGGGCACGCGAGAGTTAAAAATGGACGAATTTATTCCACTTTGACTTTGATGTGGAAACCTAAAAATAAAATAAAAGAACAATGAGCAGATTGAAATATAAAAAATTGCCTAATTATGATAACCTATATATGTTTCAACAAAAAAAAAATTGTGCATAGTAATATATTCGTCCTATACTTAAGCACCCATAGAAATGTCGCATCTGAACAAACTAATTTCATAATCTATATTACATGACACAAGATGGCGTCTTAGGAACAATTTGTTTTATTATTAATTTATAATACTTTTTTATTGATTAAGTATCTTATTAACCGAATTATAAGTAATTCCAGTAAAAACCAAGGAATTAATTAAAAGTAATTCCTTGGTTTTACTGACATTTCTTGAATTATTTGTGGAATATATAAGTACACACGACGGCATATTTTTATCAAGAGATTGTTTTTAAATAAACACAACACGTGACAACTCTACAAGAGCCTAGCGAGTGGCTGATTAAAGTGCGGTGTATGCACCGCAGTTCAGTGGAACAGAGTAGCTGAATGCAGTGTTGCCTCTAGTTCGTAGTATAATAGCTCAATGTTTTTGTTTAAAGAAAACTAAATTGACTTTGGACATATTTAGTTCTATTGTGATGGATAGATAACATCCACCATTTTGCCGCAGCGGCTAATTCTTCCACGTCCATCTAGACATTACATGTCGTTCATTGGATAGACCGCGTGCTATATAAGAACATTATTTTGCAATAAGTCGCATTTTAGACTATAAAAAAATAAAGCGGTAAAAAAAACCAATGAACACTTTTTCATGCTTTTCAGGCTTACGTCTTTCTATAATTCTAAAAATATTTTTAAGGCATGTACTTTTTAAAACAAAATAAAATTATTCATTTTTTATTATGTTTGATGTAAACGTTATTTTAACCTTAGTATAAATTATAAATCAAATAAAGGTGTATTTAAAAGTTTATTGATTATATTTATAAAATAAACTATTTACATACACTATTATGTAAACTTTTGTATCTATTTTTTATTTACATTTAAAATCATTAGTTATGCTTCTTTTATAGTAGACAACTGTGTCCTTCGATCACTTATAAATATACAGTATACACTAAGTAAATAACGCCTAACACTAAATTAGGTCACGCGCGATGAATAGCGTGCTACCAGATCAAATTTACGTCACACGTCCTCTCCCAACAGCGCTGCTGCTAGAACTAGTTGCCGCTAGATATTAATACTTAATAGCGCCAAAGCGTCCTAGCGTCAAAGCGCCCTAGCGCCAAAGCGCCCTAGCGCAATAGCACCATGGTGACTACTTACATAGCACTCGCTATGTGTTATGTAGAGATAGCGCGCTATAATACTCGTATGGCGCTATGCACTATATTAACCACCATTAGTTTTAACCAAAGCATGGCCATCTCGATGGGTCAGGGCTGGCCCATCGTGTAGAGGAGCTATAGCACCGCAATCAAATGGAACAGCGTAATTACCTGCAGTGTCGCCTCTAGTACCTAGTACATAATAGCTCAATATCTTTTAATTATTTTTTTTTATCATTTATGTTTGTGTTCATTTGTTTTTCGTATTATCATGTTGTAGTAAAAATAATATCCTTTTATTTATTTATTTATTAAATAAACAAGAAAATAGATAACAATCAAAATACATTAAAAAACTGTAGATATAACTGTTTTGTGCCAGATTGTTATCCTAAATATATTGACACATCATTTTTATATAATTTATTACAATAGAGATCAACTCTACGCTTTACAATATTTATGACGTACATAACTACGTAAACCAACAAATTAAATTTAACAAACAACAAATTTAAAACTAATATGATATGGGTATTAGTGGGTATAAATATAAGCTGTTTTACTGCTCTTTTGAATATCCTGGGTCATGGTTCAAACATATCCAAGCCAACATATATATATATATATATATATATATAAGGTCATATTTCTTACGGAGAATATGTAAGGCCGCATTTGTAGCTAAGTATTCTAAGAATTCTTTTTTGGACGTTATATATATACTATCCGAATGGACCGTGTAGCAGGGAGACAAAAAAATACCAGCATATTCAAAAATACTACAGATAAAGCCACAATAAACAGTCAGGAATCCTTTCATGTATCTCATAGATTACCAGCGTGAAATAGCAGCTCAACGCTGCTGTGTTTTGAACGGTGAGTATAAAGAACCAGAGACTCATTTTAGTGGGAACGAGGCGTTCCATCTTAGTCCTCACGGGTGACGATGAATCGGCATTTTAAGTCATAATCAAGGATAGAAATGTAGATGTCTATGGGCCACAGCAACTATTTTCCATCAGGTGGACTGTGTGCTCCTTTATCACCCTATCTTATAAAAAAGGAAGCTTTGAGGCTATTTGAAGCTCTTACTGCATCTTGTTATAAAACCCAGTAATTTTAAATGTAGGCATAGTGATCTCGAAATGTTAATTCAGGTCAAACAGCACACCCAGGTTTATAGCTACAGTTTTCTTAAATAAACGTTTCCGTTTTTATACTAAGATTTATTATAAGTTAACATAACTTTTGAAATTATTACAATTTTATAGGTATACTTTAGTGGCTGCAATACGAAATTGACTTTTTAATATCGTCAAAATTATTTTTACGTGGCAAATCATTTCATCAGTTATAAATTTAAATACGTGTAATATGAAATGATGGGAACATTTATATTCGTTGCGCCAAAACGCACATTTGGTAGACGATATTAGCTGGCAGTAGTTCCCTGCTCTTCACTTCCGCATTCTTCCTGCATGGGCATGGCCAATAGAAGGCTAGACACTATGGCGTCATTTCGTCAAGTGAAAGGGGAAACATCAGAGTCGTCGACGTGCCGCCGCCGCTCGAGCAGTTTGAGCTAGACCTCGGATATGATAGCACCTCTGTGGCAGGCGCGCCTCAGAATAATTGAGTAGTGAACGCTTTGCATAGTGCAACTTTCGTCGTCCACAAGTACAGTTATCGTCGCGCATCACCGCAGTCGCAATGTAGCGCCATCAACTTCGAGGTCTGAATAGGAGGCAATCAGAGCGTATCTAACATGAGCTGTTCTTATTTGTTTCTCCTTTCCCACAGGTCCTAACAAGGGCATTGCCCAAAATTGGTCACGTAACACATCCGCCATCTTGTTTTGATTATAACTAAATACATATACAGTCACATACACATACAATCCACCTATCGTTAATCTCACATACAAGTTTTCGGGTTATTATTCCCGAAATCGAACCCCTGTACCCCAACCATTTTGTAGTTACTTCTCTCCGGGTACGAAGTGCAACCTAGTCACCCTAACCATTAAGTGACCATCCGTTTCCAAATTCGAACCCAGGAACCATTAGCGCCACCATTTTGTGTTCTTGCGTTCTGGATTTAAATTAGCAACTCATAAACGCTCCACCAGATATCATTTATAAATTAACGGATCGCTATATTTAAAAAAACATTCGTATTATGTTTATTTCTATCATTATCTTTCACAATAAATCACAATAAATATAAATGCATTAATTGCATTTTTGTAATAGCGTAAGATTAATTTCTATTTTGGTATTTGATTGAGTAGAAACATTTATTTTTTTACATCGTAAAACTTTTTGTCAGAAGTTTAATAACCGATGCTGTTGTGGCGGCACGGTCGTAGCTGTCGACCGTTCGGCAATCATCGGGAGCCTTCGTCTTCGCGGGCGCGACCGGCTCAGTTTTTTCCGCCTCGCTAGAGATGGGCTTAAACGTTAAAAAATAATAACACTGCTAAATGCTAATGCTAAAAATAATTAACAGTTATTTTTAGCAACTGTTAAATTGAGTCACAGACAGATTTTTAACACCTAATTAATTCTCATTTCCTTCATACTTTTCACAGGCTTAGGACTGTCAACTTTTTCTGTTGGCGTATTTATAATGAGAATCAATTTAATTACAACGATTTCTTTTTTTTCATATTTGTTTTTTAGTATTCGTAATTTTTATATAATAATATTTTTTTCTTTTTTTATTTTTTTTATCTTCTGTTTTTTCTCTATTTTTTCTTTCTTTATTGTTTTTTTATCGTCTGTTTTTTATTTCCATTTAAAAATGATAACTGTTTGACTTTTCGGACTCCAAGGCGAGTTCTTTGTTGTGAAATTATGTAACCAGTTCGCGATAAAAGCCTTTCGCAAGAAACAGAAGTAGTACAGTAGTAAAGTACATTTGTTTCGAACCAACTTAGCCAAATGTGGAAAAATGCCTTGGTTCTGCTTCCACCAGCTCAACGGTAAATTATGGCAATAATAATAATAAATAATTATTATTATTATTATACAACTAATCACTTTTTCATTCAAATATTTGTCTATTTTTTTTATTGCTCGTGCAGTTTGGTGTCTCAATTGATTGCGGTACAGCCTCCCTCTGTCAAAAAAAAAAGTAAAAAAAAAAAGAAGAGAAAAAAAAGAAAAAGAGAAAAAAACGCAGAAAAGCAAGTTAAAAAGCTCTCTGAGAACATAAGTTCTCACAATAACTCACTATCAAATAAAAAAAAAGAGACACATGACTTCACGGCATCTTGAATTTCTACGATCTTTTCGAGCATGTAGAATTTGGAATTCCACCTCGTCAGGACTTCTTGAAGCAGTCATTTTGGCTGTGTTGCTCCATTTTGCTTTTGAAACTCATCAAGTTTTTGAGTGGCTTCAGTGCTTCGCTTGTGATGTGTGATAAGCTTCACACGTTCAATCACAGACTTAATAGGTACAGATTTTTCCATCGCTTCTTGCACTATCAAATTTAAAATTTAGCTGTTTCTGATAACGCAGCTTACATCAAGAAAGCCATATCACAGGAGCTAGGGTGGAAACATTTCGGATGTGCAGGTATGCTGCATATGGCTTTCTTGATGTAAGCCGCGTTATCAGAAACAGCTAAATTGATTTTAGCTGAAATACCCCAAGAATCGGTAATAATTTTCAACTGAGATGCTGTATTTTCACTATTGGAAGGACTCAAAATTACTTCACAGTCCAAAACAATCGATTCCAAATCAAAATTTTTATTTATAAAATGCCCAGTAACAGCCATAAAACTATCATTTCCCGCCGAAATCCAATTGTCAGTGGTAATGCAGATTGTTTCGACTTCTTTATTTATTACTTTTTGCACCTCTGTTCTACACTGTTCGTACATTGTTGGTAAAAGTGTATTAAAAATTAAGTAATTTAAAGAATTTGAATATTGGATAAAGCCAAGTCTTCTACAATTGAAAATGGTTGAAAGTCAAGTATGAAAAGCTGCATTAAATAATAATTGAGTCGTTGTTTCTCTTTTAAAGTCTTTTTTTTTTACGGTAGAAGTTGATACACTTGGTTGAATTTTTCTCTGTTTTGCTGGTGGTGGCAAAAACTCATCATTAGTACCCGAAGAAATTGAAGTACTGGGGGCATTTTCAGTAATAGGAACAGTCTGTTGAGAACTAACGGAACACTCAGGCTCAGGAAATGTACAAGCACTTTGTTGTTGTGCCTGTTGGATATTAATAGTAGGATGCTTAAACTTCATGTGAGATTTTAAATTTGAAACTGAGCTTTTGTATGAAATAGTATTTTTACACAAATTACACGTACTAATTTTTTTACGATATCGCTATCCGTAAAAAAGTTCCATATTTCACTTTTTTGGCGTTGTATATTCATTTTAGTTGTTTTCTTCCAATTTATAAGTATTCTGCTTCAAACGCAAACAACACTACACAAACAGTTAAACAATTGGAATTTTCACTCACAACACTAACTACCTACTACCTAGATAACAAACTCGCGTAAACCTTCGTAACGAAAATCAGTCTTTATTTACCACTAGTTAAATATTATAATAGAATATTTCCAAATTCAGCAGTTAGCACTTAGCATTTAATTAAATGAACTCGCTCAACCTTAACATTCTAACTGTCACTGAACACTAAATACAAAATAAGTAGTTGCTACATAAATCGCTATGTAAAAATCGCTAAAACAATTCAATAGAGACGAAAACGGAACACGTGTGTCGTATGTCCTTTTTTTTGTTGTTGCCGTCGCGTCTGCCTGCGGCCTGCAGTAGTGGGATAAAGCGAGACAAATATATATCCGGCGTCCGTGTTTGGTGCGGATGGGAGCACTGTCCAGCCAGCAAGACCATTATTGTTTTGTTGTGAGTTGTACTGCTAAATTTAACAGCTATCTCAGAACTTATTTAACAGGTGTTGACACTAAAAAAATTAGCAGTGTTAATTTAGCAGCTTATTAATTTTAGACCCATCTGTACGCCTCGCCAGTCGATCCGACCAATCGACGCCGTGAGGCCGCTCGTCCGCGCTTCGATCCACGACGTCGTAAAATACGTAGTAATAAACGGTTATTTAATATATGTGGTGTGTTAATTATTCGCAGCCCCACACTGTCTCTGTCTTTCTCTCTCTCTCTCTCTCTGCGCCTTATTATAAATCCATCACTGCTGTGTAATTTCCACTTTAGGCATGACTTTTACTTACAAAAATAAAATTAATTAAATCTACGTATATTTGAATTATAAATTTTTATAAATTTGTATTTTGTTAAGTGCGTCAATGGTCTGGTGCAGAATAAAGTTCCTTTCTTTCTTCTTTCTACTTCTGTACGACTACATGACAAATGTATAAGTCATCACTGGCAACTGTTCAATCATCTAGTCGAAATTCTTGTAGAACAAAACCCCTACGGCAGGCGAAAAGGAACACAACAATCAAATAGTTATGTTAATACTTTCTAAATTTTTGCACACGTTTTATATATTGCGTTTCTCGAAAAGTGCTTGTCAACAAAATGCTCCTTGAGAGTAATATACAGACTAGTCGAGTGGAAAAAACGCGACTCGTTCCTGTTTGTCCACGGTTAATAATTCAACGGAAATGCTTTTCTCACTCCTGTTTTCCGCTTCAAAACTGCATGCATTTTGAAAAATAGAGCAACGAAACATTCAGCCTATGAGTGTATAGTGTCAGTTATAAGTGTACTATTTTCACGGAGTTTCTTATTCTTATTTTATTGTACCTATATATATCATATTGTAACAGTATTCTACTTGTTATTTTATTTATAAAGTACTGCCTCGGCTTCTCACGGGTAATTTCTGGATCTTGATAACAGTGCCACATACCGGGCAGACTTTTGAAATTCACGATTTTTCTCTATTACAATAGGCAAGTATTAAACATATAATAAATTTCTATTGAATCATTAGGTTTATTGATGTAAACTGCATCAAAATCCGATATGTAGTTTGAAGGATCTAAGCACGCAGACGGCAGAAAGCGACTTGGTTTTATACCACAGTATAATAAAGACATACAGTAGGTTGACGCCTTTGATCTCTTGGCAAATGCCGACAATGTCTGGACAACGCATGGAGGCTAGGGTTGTCACAATTCAACAACTTTTACTAATTGAATTATTTATTTTCAATCTACATCGTCATCAACAGTCATTGGTTGGTAAAGGTAAGGTTGGTACAACTGTTTTCTTCAGTGATTTCTTCCCGTGCATACTCTTTTCGAAATGCAAACTGCAAATGTAATATCATATAATCAGGTCTTCTTATAACTTCCATCCATAATTTGCATCTGAAATTTTTAAATGCCATACCTATTAATAAATTTTCGTAATTGTCACCCCGAGAAAATTCAAAATTGACATTTGTATCATATTATTAAAAAAAAAACTCCACCATTTGGATTTCAAAATAGATTCTATTTTCCTAATCAGCAGCCCAAGGCACCTCGAAATTGATACACATATCATATTTTTAAAAAAGTGTCCGCCATCTTCAATGTGAAAATGAAAAAAAAAAAAAAAAAAAAAAACCGAAAACGAGGCACTTTAGTATGGTCTAAGACCTTAACCTGTCCTAACCTAAAAAAATCAAACTTCGAAGTACATGCCCAGCGACTAATACCTATTTTTTTATATCCGCGTGACATAACAAAATATACAAAATAAAATAATATAAAATAATAGTAACAATATTTATTTACCTTTCTTACTTGTGCGGAATTTGGTAAAATCGCAGATCCTTATTTATACGAGATGGTTACTTGCAATCTCTCACAGCACATGTCTTATGCACCATTTTAATTACAAGTAACTACACTAAAATTAATAATAAATCATAAATGATTAACCCTGAAAGTTGTGTCCCGAGTCACTAATAAGATTGGCATAAGCAACTCGGGCTCGTCCTTCCCGCGTCTCGTCCCGCACGCCCCGCACGATTGCCCTGTATTACGTACGTAATTCGTAAGACCTATTCGTCGGACTACTGTATAGTTTTATATTCTGTGTTTATACTATGTAGAGACGAAAGCTATATCGAGTAACCCATTCTGTAGGGGTAACGGGATCCGAAGCACGGTCTTGCACGCCAGTTGGCGACTAGATGGGAGGACCCGGTGGCCATTTCGGAGGGGGCTCGGGCGTCACCGCAGTCTCCAAATGAGTTACCAATCAGTTGGCTAATCTCTTAAGTCTTCAGTTGGCATATTGAGCGGTTATAACCCCTATTATATACAAATATTACAACCTCTACATTTGCGGGAAATGTGCAGAATGTACTACATCCAAAGACTTACTTATTTCTTTAATAATTAATAGTATTGAAAGTTTGTGGAATGCACAAAATTTGATACACCTGAAAAGCCATTTATCGGGTAATGCAGTTTCTCAGAGAGACCATATTTATAACAGAACATGATTATTTAAATAAATTGTCTTTTATTAAAATGTCGTAGAAAATATGAAGCGAATAATATTTTAAAACGTTATGTGGACCAAAGAAATATTATATCTGAGTCATCTGCTATCTTACGAAATTTGATTCCAAGAACGGTTGTTTAAGTGCTCTTACAAATATTGGTGTTTCCTCCATAGATTTCCTCATAGGGGAATTTTGCCATAATTCAGACACATGGTAGGCGGGTGTGCAACCGCAGTTTTTATATAATTTTGTTTTAATAAGAAGTTGCTGCTGAAAACCATTTTAGGACTTCTTCACCACGATCTAAATAGCGGGAGGTCAATATATTATTTAAAATTTAGTTGTTGAACTTCACAACGCCCGTCATTAGACTGTCTCGCAAGAAACGTGCCCTAAATATTGCGATGACCATCCGCTATCAATCACTTTTCTTGATATGATTAGTGAGTCCCAGCTTAGGACCTGTATATTTATATTAATAGCGAATTTTTTCTCTCTACCACGTATAAAATATTTTATTCTTTTTAGTTCTCTGAAATTGGCTTTTACCACACAGTGTTACAATACCAATAGATCGATCGTCGAATGATAGCTTAGATCGATGGTGGAATGGATTGGTCGACGTTGATCGAGCTACTTGATTATTTGAGAACCCACCCCGCTCCATCCACCGCATTTTGAAAGATCATTTTCTTATAACAACCACATCGATTAATTGTCGATCGACGTCAATGATTGAACAACATTTTATCGACCAGTAAAAGTTAATTAAAAAAAGTAAAAGTTATTTTACCGCAACCATACAGCATAATATAATATCACTTGATAAGTTTTATGCTTGTTACATATATTAATTGAGAACACCACAAAGTTTTGATTGCCTAAAAGTAAAAAAAGTTTATTAGCCAGTACTAATATTCAAGCTTAATAATTGTGTATTGATTAGGTACAGAGAGATTGTGATTTAAGTGTATTTGACTGTACCGTGTAGGTTAAGCACAAAGACAGTTTATCTCTTCATTGCAAAAAAGAGCCCACTCACCCTGTTTCTTACTTTCTTCTTCTTCTTCAGTTTGTTCTGATCATCGAGTACAGGGCCAAAACGGCCGCAAAGAAACTAGGTAGTTGCAAGTTAAGGGTGGCACTTTATTAGACTGACTGGACTGATGCTACAAAATGCCACCTAGCAACGTTGACTCAGTGTGAGACGTGCTTATTTGAGTTCTTGATTTGGTCAAAATCAGTCTTTTTGGTCGAGCACAGGGTAAGAGTAGCCGGCCTTTCAGTATTCTATAATATGTATTTCGGAGCGTGCGCAGAAATTACATGCCTTAATTTCTCCCTCCACTTTTCACCATCGGACAACTTGGCGGTCGGCGGACGTCACCCCTTTGTTGTCGATATTCCTTTCAGTTGAACCA